GTTGGGAATTCAAAGTAGGATTATACAGTTGGGGTTGAATGCTATCTCTGCCCAGTTTTCAGTTCTGAAAAGTTAAACAATGGCAAATATAAAATTACAAGAAATTGAAATTATTTAGTTTTTCAATTTAAAATGAAATTTAAAAAATTATGTTCTCTATTATAACAAGATCAAGTTGCAGAAGTTTTCATTTTTTAAAAAACAAACTGCTAAACCAATCCTATTGAATTATGTTAAAATTTATATGAAAGTTAGATAACCCCCAGGCCTGAGCCGATAAGCTAATGTGTGAGTGATTAAAAATCAGAAACACAGTCCAATTAATTGGATTGCGTGTCATCATAAAATAACACCTTTTTGAAACTTCAAATATATTCATCTGAAATCTCAGTACATTAGCACTATTATTTAAGAAGTTTAAATGAAAAGCACTTTCATTCATACTCATCTGCATTTAATTTATATTTGTGTACTTTAAATAGGGCTCTGAATAAAATTAACAGATTGTTTCTTGTTTAGCAGTATTTCCCATGATTCTGATTTACATAGATGTACTTGAACAATGATTTTTGAAGTAGAAAATTATTTTTGATGCCTTTCATAATTTATGGTGTATAAAATATTAAGATAGAAATAGAACTTCCTGTTTGTGAAAAATATAGCATGCAAACTTAACTTTGGGAACCAATCGTCATGACATCAATAATGGAAACTATTATATTTCTGGGCTGCTTGACAAAGTAGAGTCAAGTTCTCAGCCAACATCAGAAAAAATCTATTAGAGCGATTTATAAAGAACTCCAGAGATGATATTTTGATTTGCTCAGAAGTGCTGAATATTGTTTGGTCCCTCTGGGATATGAACTGCTCAAAAATAGACATTCCTGTCGTAACGATGGCAAGATACCTTTTATCAGGAGCTCATATACAGCCTTTATCAGATACAGCCTTTTAGACATGATGTAGCCTAACATATAGTTTAATTATATGAATAGATCTTTTTGATTCCATAGTTTTGTCACAATTAAAGTTGCACATTGCAATATAAAAAAGTATTCAAAATACACATTATGAACCACAGCGGTATTTGGACAAAACATTAAACTGTAATTTGATTTGGGCTCATGTACTTCCTTCTCTGCTTCTTGCTTTGTCATTGAAGAGATGATTGGAAGTGTTTTGAGGGTTTTTTTTGTAACTAGCCACGTTTTTTCATTATAATCTTACAGTGCCTATCCGGCTTGTCTGGGTAAAGCCAACTTTAAATTGTAATCTACAGTTCTGAACTTTGAGATAAAAGTTAGATTTATAATTAATTAAAAATCCTAGTTATTCAAAAGCAAATGGTGGCTTTAAATTAGAAGTATACACTTTTGATCTTTATGTGATCAAGGAGAAGTGAAGGAAAGCAGCCAGGCTCCTGTACAGACTAATCGTTACGATTAGCGGGGCCTCTGAAAAATAAATTATTTCATCTGTTGACATACAGCTTTAGAACATCTTTTAAAGACAGCAGCTTTCACTGTACAAATTAGCTGTTTTGAACTTTTGAAACCACAGATCTACACAAACGCAGGAAATTCAGTTCCTGTGGATTTATTGTTTTCTTCCATTATTTGATAGTACATTCTGATACAATTCCACTACATTCCCATGATATGAAATCTGTAGTGGTATTTCACAAATCTCCCAATGGATCATTCACCTATCATCTTGTGCCTTAATGATAGAAAACTGCAGTTACTGGATGAATAAAATATTTGCAACTAGTATTAGGTTGGAAGTGTATACAATATGTTTATTCTGAATGGTATTGGGTTTAACCCCACTATTAAAGGCTAACGAACAACTTAACTAGCTTGACATTCCTATTCTTCAGAGTTTTGCACAATGATTCAGTTAATGCACAGTGATTCATAGTTTGTTTTTTAAAAAAGTTTTGTGCAAAATTGTTTTCTACTGTAAATCCCAAGGAAAACTTGAGATATTCCTTATATATGGAAAGATTTGTGTAATGTTTTTCTCCTATTGTTTTTTATGAGCCAAAGTTTACTTCTTCAGTAAGCAAATACTGTAATAAAATCATTTTTGGGCAACTTTTCATCTATGTCGAACTTCATTTAAAGATTGCTATCTCAACAAGCATATTAAGGTTTTCTTCATGCAACTGATTGCAGTGCTACTTTGGTTGTTATCTAATACAGGTAGTCCTTGACTTACGACCATAATTGGCACCAGAATTTCTGTTACTAAGTAGATTGGTTGTTAAAGTGAGTTGTGCCTGGTTTTACAGCCTTTTTTTCCATCGTTGTTAAGAAAATCACTGCAGTTAAGTGAATCATGCTTTGCCCATTGATTTTGCTTCTTAGAAGTCATTTGGGAAATGTTGCAAATACATGCTGGTTGCCTCATAATCATGGGGAATACAGTGATGGTCGTCAATGCAAGGACTGTTCAGAAGTCATTTTTTTCAATATCTTTGTTATTTTGAACGATAATAAATTGAGTGGTTGTAAGTCAAGAGCTATTTATATGGTCTGAGTTCTCTCTGCATTCAGAATAAAGAAATAATAACATGATGGGTTGTGACTCCAGCTTCTGAAATTCCAAGGTTGCATGGCAGAAGTCACATTTAGAAACTTTGAGACTTACAATTCCAATGATGCCAAAGGACTGGGGGCTACTGGTTTAGCAGATCACTGTCTTAGAAGACATGCTAACCATCCCATCAGTGCTTAACACTTTTTTAAAAAAATGGTATTGGACTGGATCATATTTATAAAAATCTCAAAGAAAGTATTAATTAGCAAGTTAGTCAGCACTTGCAGAAATCCTGTTGGCTTCAGTGGATTCATCCTGTTGGTGTCATTTAAATATAACCAAATCGGTATCCAATGCTTTGTATTCCTTGGAATGTTCATTAGGAATTGAGGGTATTGAATAATGGATTCAACATCTCATAAACATACATACTAACTGATAATACAAACAATGACTTATTTTTAAATTTAGGTTATTTATTTATGAACTACCAATAAAGGAGAATATATATGAACTAGAAAGTTATCAGATGAAAACAGAGGGATTGTATACCCATGCATGCCGGCACAATGTAGGCAACAGTATTTCTTTCTTTATTGAACAAAGGGATAGGCGATGGAGTACTGATTTAGAGGATTAATAATCAAGTTAATTATAGGATTCTCTGTTTCTTTTTGACTCCTTTTTCCTCCCCACTCATTCTTTATCTGAAGGAGATGAATAGTTATATTCTTTATATACTTAACATTTATTTAAATAATCCATTCACAGATTGTACTAAACCCGAAACCTTGCTTTTCATAAATCAATTTAACTGAAATATTTCAGTTCAATATAAAATTTCTTTGCATCCGTGAAGAAAACAATCCATTTGGGGGATTATAAAAATATCCTAATTCTTGCATCCATTTCTCATAAAATACATAAATCCTTAAAATTAAATCCGAAGAGCATTGCTTCCAAGTTACCTTAATAAACGAGTCTAGAATGTTGGACACCAGCAGTAATCACTAGCATGCTGCGGGAATCTGTTGGCTGTGTGACTAAAGAAACCTACTTCTGAATGTGCAGATTTTGCAAATTTATTTAACTAGAGATTTTTTTTAGCTATTTCCTGCATAAAAAACAGAGAAGAGGAGCAGAAGTTGCTCGAATTTAACTTTCATTTGTTATTTGGAAAGAATTTGAGAATGATTTGTAGTTATTTCAAGTTGCTTCTGTTAGGCCAGGGCTGTCAGACTCTCGTGCGGGTTGAGTGTGTCACATGCTGGCCATGTCTACACCCAGTGTAGTGAAGGCGGGAAGTCCCGATATGTCACATGACGCTGCCATGACGATGTGAGGTTGACACCCCTGTGTTAGGCCTACTTTGAATGTTTTCAGACTTGTTTCACGTGTTCCTTTAAGGCTTTAATCCCCACTTGCTTTGTTTCCCTTTTGACTTGTATAAGCAAGTTAATGGAAATATGGAAAGGGGAAGCATCAGAAATCAAGATGATACTTGCAGCAGTTTTTTCAAAGATCTCATTAACACCCTCCTAGCCCACTCCAAGAGCTCTCTTAACAAAAATATAGCCTCAGAATAAATTTTAATGTTTTTTTAAGACCATCTGATGTATTTATAGTGGTCATCTAAGTTTTTTATTTGATTTATTTGATTTGTCTATCGCTTACAAGGTAACAGGTATAAGTATAAACATAGTTTTGAAAACATGAGATGGATACGTATAAGGAAAATAAAAAGAAACAATAGGACAGGGACAGTAGGCATGATTGGTGCGCTTATGCATATGTTGTTAGAATACCATATCAGGTGCAAACTGATAGCTACAAAGGATCAGGGAAAAACAGAGATTGGACTATAAAACAATTACTCTTACCAAGATCCCAGGAAGAGATCTCAATCTTGAGACAAGAACTCATCACACGAACACAAATGAAAGACTTCAAGGATTCACACTTATGAAATCAAAGAACCTGAACTGTATAAAAAAGGGATTTTCCTACTCACTTATTAGATTAATCTCAGGAACGCTGTAGGGTTTATTCTTATTTGCCTTCCTATTAATAAACTGATTCTGGCTCCCAATGCAGCTGGCCAAATGATTTTGCGGTAAAATCTCCCAGCCGGAAATTTGAATCCACAAAGGAAAGAACTTTGCCTTTTTCCTTAAAGGGCAAGTCTTCCTTTTCCTTTCCTCAATTGGTACTATGTTGTTAGAATACGAAAAATATAATAGTTTTACTGTTCATTTAGTAGAGAAAATATTAAGAGGATGACGGAATTTCTCATAGTAGGTAAAGGAGTACATGGACATCCAATTCTATATTCAGATGGATTGATTTGCGAGTTAAGTACTAGCTTTGTGGCTTCCACTTTAACTCATCTTTTTTCAACAGCTATTAAGAGGAAATTTCTCCAAATTCTGATGTTCTTTTCCTTTTTTTGTTTTCAATAGAGTTTACAGATGTTGCCTCAACAACGAAAGGCCATTGCAAAATTTAAAGAGCCTGCTGATGCTTTAAAATTTCAGCAGAAGTTTCACAGGTAAGTTTATGCATAGGTTTTAATCTTATATAAAATATTTTGCATTTCTCAGTATTAGATGAATTGTACAGTCTTACAATCCCATTATCCCCAACCAATCTGATAAAAAACACAGCAATAGGGAAAGATTAAATTTAATAATTCAATAGTAAATACCAAAGTATAGTAATAAAAAAGCTGTTTTTCAACCATTTTATAAAGACCTCTTATCTTGAGATTGGAGAAGTGTTTAATTTAGACCTGATTCATCATACTGATTGTTAGGGATACACCCTAGCAGACTGTGCACGGCAGTCAGGCAGGTAGGCAAAATATGTGAGATAAACGTTTTTGTAGCTTACACTCAATAAAACAGATACACTGTGCTAGTTAAATAGTTTATTCCAGTAAGAGTTTTAGCATAGTCAAACAGTCCATATATCATTCACTAGTTCAGTCCGTCCGGGGATTATTCAGTTGCAAAGTCCAGTGTCGAAACAGAGGTCAGTAAACTTACAAATATCAGTCCAGTAATATATCTCCTCGCAGTAGAGATATGAAGAAGTCAAACCTCCTTTCTTCCTTTGACGTTCAAAAGCTCAGCAGCAGGGAACACGCAGTTAGCAAACCATCAATCCAGCAAACCAGCAATCGTCAGCAATCCAGCAAGTTCTCTTGCTCCCTCTTATGGCGGTTTCACAACCGCACCCAAAATTACATGCTTTGCAGTTTAAAGTGACACACACTTAAACTTAGTATCATAGTTTATATATATTATTTACCCAAACTACGTTAGGTAACCTTGTTATTCTTAACATACTCCCCTTTTGGGTAATATAATAATATATATCTATTTACAACCTTAACCCATAGTCATCACAACTTCCTTTGTTTTTGTAGCTTACACTCAATAAAACAGATACACTGTGCTAGTTAAATAATTTATTCCAGTAAGAGTTTTAGCATAGTCAAACAGTCCATATATCATTCACTAGTTCAGTGTGTCCGGGGATTATTCAGTTGCAAAGTCCAGTGTCGAAACAGAGGTCAGTAAACTTACAAATATCAGTCCAGTCCCAACTGAACCTTGGGCTTTTGTAAATTGATCAGCAATATTTTGTTCAGTCATATAATATTCCAGTCTTATTAAACCATCCTTTGCCTTACATTCAGATATCTAAGATCTGTATGCTTAGATCTCGTTTTCACAGCAATATTTGTATGGCTGCTTGATTGTCCTCATACACTACAATGGAATCATTAACAGTTATTCCCATATCCAATAACAACTATTTATACAGAATTAAATCAGTACATAATAAAGATAGACATGAAAATTCTGCTTCCTTTGTGGACATACTTATGCGTTGCTGTCTAATTGACTTCCAACCAATCAGTGTCTTTCCTAACAGTATAGCCGTTCCTGAAGTTGATTTCCTAGTGTTTATGTCTGTTGCAAAACTTGCATCAGCATATGTACTTAAAATCAAATCATCTTTTGGCTCCAAATACAATGCATAGTGCATTGTCTTTTTAAGATATCTTAAGATACGCTTTGTCGCTTGCCAGTGTCGTTCAGTGGGTTCAGGGTTGAATCTTGCCAATTGATTAACGCTATAGGCAATATCTGGCCTTGACCAATTACTAATGTACAATAAACTACCAATTAGTGATTGATAGATTAGTCTAATCAAATTTTGGACTTTGAGCATCAGCGTGGAGAAATTTCTTACTCAGTGGAGTTTTTGCCAGTTTACAAAGTTCCATCTTGTATGTTTTTAGTAATTGATAAATCTTATCCTCTTGAGATATCTTATAGCCACCTTTGGTTCTATTTATTGTTAATCCTAGATACTGTTTTATCTCTCCTAATTGGTTTAGTTTTATCCTCTTACCTAATAATGATATTATTTCAGTAGCTTCATTATTAGTTTTTGTAATTAAGGCAATATCATCAGTGAACAACAATAACAATGACACTGTTCCATTTGTCTCTTTCTTAAATACACATGGATCAGCTAAACCTGCTTTAAACCCTATATTGTTTAACTCCTTAACAATATATTGGTTCCATTCGTAACCAGATTGTTTTAATCCATAGAGACTCTTTTTAAGCTTCCAACAGTCATTATTTGTTTTATCATCCTTAATACCTACAGGTTTTTTTAGGTATATAATGTGCTGCAATGGTGCATGCAGATAGGCAGTTTCTACATCTAAGTGATTTATGATATAGTTTTTCTTAGCTGCCCACACTAAAGCTGCTCTCAAGGTTGTTGCTTTTAGACTCAGTGCAAATACTTCATCATAATCACATGCAGTTTGATTAAATCCTTGAGCTACCAACCTAGCCTTATGGGTAATAGTGCCATTTTTACCTGTTTTTAATTTAAATATCCATTTACAGCCAATGGACTTTTCACCTGGAGGTAATTTAACATTTTCATAAACTTCCATTTGTTTCAATGAATTTAGTTCCTTCTCCATCACTCTATGCCGATTTTCTTGATCCTTTGCAGGATACATTCTAAGTTCTTCCACAGTAGCTGGAACTTTACTAACTTGGCAAACTACACTTGCTTGGTACCTGTCAGGTGGTCTGGTTTCACGTGTTGAACGTCTAGGTATTACAGGGCTTATAGGTGGACTTTCATGTACTACCTATTCCTGGTTATCTATTTCTTCCTGTTCACCTATTTCTTCCTGTTCTGGTCCTATGTGCTCTTCCTGTACTTCCTCTTTAATTGTAATTTTCTTATTACTGATATGTTGTTTTGGTCTTTTGTAGGTTTCTATGATTACATCCTTACTTGAATCTTGCTCCAGTTTTTCCCATCCTACATGTTCAAGGAATTGCGCACTAGCACTACAGTAAACTCTAGATGTACCTTTTTCCCAGAATCTGTATGATTTGTGATTAGATTCATAACCTACAAAGAATAACCTTTTAGCCCTATGCTGCCCCTTATGTCTCAGTTGTGTAGGAATATGCACCCATGCTGGTGCTCCAAATGTGTGCATGTAGCTTAGGTCAGGTTTTCTACCATGCCACCGTGTGAATGGTAATTCACCTGTTGTTGAGTTAACAACATTATTCAATATATGATTACCACACATTATTGCTTCTCCCCACAAAGTTTCAGGTAATCCTGAATCCGACAACATAGTACGAGCCATTTCCTGTATTGTTTGGCCTCATCTTTCTATAAAGGAATTGTGTTGTGGCCCATATGGTGCAGACTTTTTATGTTCTACACCTGCCATCTTCAGTCTATTTTGGAATTTATTATTTATAAATTCCGTACCATTATCAGTTACAAGAGTTACTAATTTCCTTTTAGTTTTTCTTTCTGCAAACTTCAACCAATTAAAGAAATTCTGATATGTTTCCGTTTTACTCTTCATTAAATAACAGAAATCATATCTAAAATAATGATCCATTATATTTAATATATAATGAACACCTCCCACACTTGGTGTTTTAGGACCTATAATATCAGCAAATACGACCTCTAGAGGCTCTTTAGTTTTAAATCCATTAATTCTATTTGCTGGTATTACCTTGCTTTTTTCTTGACTGCAAGCATTGCAGCGCAAATACTTACTGCAAGGCTTCAGTTTTATACCCTTAGACAGTTCAACCGTTTGCTTGAGCATTTTAAAATTTATATGCCCTAAACGTCTGTGTAACAAATGTATGCATTCATCATGAGGTTTAACATTATTACACACTGTGTTAGCCACCTCTAATTGATTATCATTTAACACATACAATTCACCTTTTAAAGTTGCAGTCACTTTTTTACCTTCCTTTTCTATTATGCAGTTTTCTCCCCTAAAGGTAACTACATAACCTAGTTTTAACAAAACTCTAACCGAAAGCAAATTAAACTTAAGTTGTGGTACATATAACATTTTTACATTTTCTTTTATGCAAGAACAATGTGCAGTACCTTCACCTTTTGCTTTAATTTTCCAGCCATTAGCTAACGATATCTATTGTGAACTCATTGACATCTTAACAAATCTTTTCTTATCTTTCGTTATGCAGTGTGATGCTCCACTATCTACAACCCAGAAATTATTATTGTTCACAGTTTCATTGCTATACATGGCTAACTCTAAGCATTTTTTATCCTTTTGATGCCTTTTTGCTTTCTGGCTGGCATTGTGGCATTTTTCTTTCTTGCAGAATCTAGCCAAATGTCCTTTTCCTCCACAATTAAAACATTTTCTAATTGTGTAGGCTGTCGAAGATAATTTTTCTTCCTGTGGTTGTTCCCTTCTCAGTTGATCCCTTTCAAGCCTTCTCCTGGCTTCTTCAATTAATCTGCCAGTAATGTCAGTTAATGTGAGTTTATCTTTTGGCAGTACTTCCAGTGAAGTTACATAGTCATCATAGCTCTCATCTAACGAAGACAAAATTATATAAACCTGATGCAGTGAAGATAAGTTCTTTTTCATGCAGTTCCTGAAAAATCCTCTTCATAGTGTTTATATGAGTCAACATGTCTCCATTCTTTTGAAGATGTGTTCTGAACAGCTTCCGTGTAAGATTTATATGTGCTCCTACACTGTCTCGAACATAAATCTTCTTTAAATTCTCCCAACATTTCGCAGCTGTTTCTTCTCCACGAATATGGACAAGCTGCTGGTCACAGAGTGTCAGTCCTATTATACAGAGAGCTTGTTCATTCTTCAGTTCGTATTCTTGTATTTTCTGGGAATCATCCTCATCCTCCGGATCCCAAGCATCTACCTCTGGTGGGTTTTGAATTATACTCCACAAACCTTCTCTGCGTAGAAGTAGGCTGCATTTCATAGACCATGAAACATAGTTTGTTCCATCCAATTTGGATATTAGAGACAAACTTGGTAAATTGACTTGTGCCATCTTTCTCTGGATATTAAACTTTAATTAATAAAACACAGCTGTCTGTATTGTGTAACTGCACTAACTCTCACTTTATATAAGCCTGTTATATCCTGGTTAGTCTGACTGTGCAGCTGGGCCCAATAACCAGTGTTAGGGATATACCCTAGCAGACTGCACGGCAATCAGGCAGGCAGGCAAAATATATGAGATAAACATTTTTGTAGCTTACACTCAGTAAAACAGATACACTGTGCTAGTTAAATAGTTTATTCCAGTAAGAGTTTTAGCATAGTCAAACAGTCCATATATCATTCACTAGTTCAGTCCGTCCGGGGATTATTCAGTTGTAAAGTCCAGTGTCGAAACAGAGGTCAGTAAACTTACAAATATCAGTCCAGTAATATATCTCCTCGCAGTAGAGATATGAAAAAGTCAAACCTCCTTTCTTCCTTCGACGTTCAAAAACTCAGCAGTAGGGAACACGCAGTTAGCAAACCATCAATCCAGCAAACCAGCAATCGTCAGCAATCCAGCAGGTTCTCTTGCTCCCTCTTATGGAGGTTTCACAACCGCACCCAAAATTACATGCTTTGCAGTTTAAAGTGACACACACTTAAACTTAGTATCATAGTTTATATATATTATTTTACCCAAACTACGTTAGGTAACCTTGTTATTCTGAACACTGATGATCATACTGTGTTCAGTTCTTTGTTTCTCTCTGTTTCACTACACATTTTTCAATAGTGATATCTGTCATTAAGCCACAGTTTTCCATGGCATCATGAATAATTGTTATTTTTATGTACAATGTACAAATCAGGATTTCAGATTATGTTTTGTGTTAGAGGGTCTCCAAAGGTGGCAACATTAAAGCTTGTGGACTTCAGTTCTCAGAATTCCTCAGCCAGTTATGCTCAGTCAGCATAACCATGCTGGCTGAGAAATTCTAGGAGCTGAGAAGTGCACAAGTCTTAAGTTGTCAAGTTTGGAGACCCCTGTTTCATATCATGATTTGTAAGCAGAATATAAAATGGATTCAAATTCTGGAAACTATAGTTTAACAAGCCAATATCTCAATGAAAAAGTTAGGTACTTGACTGGGTCCAGAATATCTGAAGAATTATCTTGCCCCAATGGGGCTGCCCTGCCCTATGTATTCTGGCAGAAGAGGCCAACTGCAGACTCTTGACAGTCAAAAATTTTTGGCTGATGGGCTCTAGGAAAATAGCCTTTTCCACTGTGCCTCCCACCCTTTGGGACATCCTGTTGTCAGAGGTGAGGTCTGCCCTTTTTCTGATCTTCCAAAGGGGCATTAATACCTGACTCTAGTGATTGGCACATGGGTGGAGACACTTTACGGTGGAAGTGGCTGTGCAGTTATAGAAGAACCAGCTTTGCCTGTGGGAGTCCTTGGTTGTTGTTTTTTAATTATTATTCTATTTAATTTTTCAGGGTCCTCTGAGTTTGCTTGTTTTCTTGCAGATGTTTCATTACACAAACTAAGTAACATCATCAGTGCTACTAAGAGTGCTGTTTGCTGTCAGTTTATATTCTGGTGACTTGCTTGTCTGTATGGGTGGAGGTGGTCTTAGAGATTCCTTGTTTGGGTTGTGCTTTCTTGGTTGTTGGTCTGACAACCTTGGAGTTAATCTATACTGATCTGAGTGCTGATCACTGGTGGGGAAGTTCTGGAGTCTTTTTGTTCTCTTTTGCATAGCCTATGGATGTTGTTCATGTCTATGTGTCCATTGATGGCTGATTTGCCAGAGTGCCAGGCTTCTAGAAATTCCCTGGCATTTTTGGATTTGGCTTGGTCCAGGATTGTCACATTTTCCCAATGGAAACTACGGTTAAATCAGTCTATACGCTGTGAAATTAAAGAACTTTTGTCATGTCTTCTGACTGCCAGTTGTTGTTCATGGATGTGTTCTGCCGATCTTCTGCCTGTTTGTCCTACTCAGTGGTTGTTGCAGTCCTTGCATTGTATTTTGTAGATGGCTCCTGTTTTTTCTTCTGGAGTTGCTGGGTCTTTTGGTTTGCTTAGGATGTTTTGAAGGGCTTTAGTTGGTTTGTCTGCTATGCTGATTCCATGTGGTTGTAGTAGTTTGTGGTTTCTGTGATATTCTTGATGTATAGCAGTGTAATTATTTTTAGGGTTGTGTAGGTTGGGCTGAATTGGTTTCCGAGGTCAGGGACTTTTTGATAAGGTGTGGGTATCCATTTTGTTGCACTGTATTGAATAGTAATGAAACATCTGCAAGAAAACAAGCCAGCTCAGAGAGCACTAATGATCCCTCGTTTCAACCCTGAGCTACAAATATACTCCTTTATTGGTATTTAATTTTTGTAATTTTAACTATTCCTACATTTATAATTGCTTTTATATTTCTATTTTATTGCATTGTCCAAGCTGTCCAGAGTTGCCATCGGCAGCATATTAATCCAGGGGTCCCCAACCACTGGGCCACGGACCAGTACCGGTCCATGGAACATTTCCTACCGGGCTGCCGGTTTACTGGGCGCTGCCATCTTGTTTGACGAGAAAGTGCTTCTGGGTGAGCTTTTCCGGTTGGAAAGCGGTGTTTGGGTGCTGAAAGAATCCTCGCGCCTTAGTTTCATTGAAGGGGGGGGGGGCTTCGAACGAAACTAAGGCACGAGGATTCTTTTAAAACCCAAGGCAAGGCAAGCCGAGCAACCGTCCCGAAGCCATCCCGAAGCAAAGCCCATCGACAAAGGTACAAAGGAGGAGTTGAAGGTGGCGGGGAGAAGCGGGGGACGGCTGGCTGGCCGGTCGCACGGCTCACCTTGCCTTGTCATGCGTGCTGATGCCGGTACCGGGCCGCAGATCATTTTGTGATGCCGGTACCGGGCCGTGGCACAAAAAAGGTTGGGGGACACTGTATTAATCCATTCATCCATCAATCAATATTTACATTGAAACAATCCAATCTTGTTATAGTGTGAGGATTACTGGCTTAGAAAACTTGGCTACGTCTGAACCATGCCTAAAATGGGAAGGAAGTGTGTAACTAAATAAGTTCTTTCATTTGCTCAAAAAATACAGATGCCTTAAATCATATGCATTTATCTTTTTTCCAGGCACATGATAGATCTCTCCCATATCAACGTGGCACTGATAGTGGAGTGACTACTGGGCATAAGTTGTCTTAAAATACAGCAGGTTATGGAAGAAGTCAAAAGGGTAGAATCTCCCTGTAATTTCTGGTGCTGGCTTTGCAGACTCCTTCTGAAACTTCAAAATTATTCTGTGACAGCTACTTGACAACAACCTTGCTACAAATGGAAGTTGGATTACAAGAGTGAAAACTATCTGTGTGGAACATACGGAACTACAGGTCTCATGTGTGAATAGTATACATGGATATTTTTAGGTGATATGCTATGTGATCACAACGTCTTGGATCAAAAGAACTTTGACTCTTGAAAATAATTTTTATAATGTTTTTTTTCTTAGGAAAGAATATTTGATAATGGTTGCCCTTATCTTCAGTGTGGGATATTGAAATCAGAATGCACCCATAATCTACTGTTTGTAGCTAAGCATACAGTTCTGCCTATAATACAGAATAAACATTGAGCCATATAATTTAACAGGTCTTTTATTTATTTTTTGCCAAGAGGCTTCGAAGCTCATTCTTGAAAGATCTTATTCCTAGTGAAGTGAATGTAATCGTTGCACATAAAATATTCCTCTCAGTATTCCTAATATTTCTTACTAACCCTATTTTGGACAAATTGTCTTACCAGTTGAGGTCCTTACCTAAGAAGGATGCTTGTATTCAGGCTTCTCTCGTGCTTTCTTAGAGGGCTTGTATGGCCAGGAAATAACTAGGGTTTGCAGGGTGATGAGAAAGTTTACATATTCAGGACAAGGAGATCCGTTTTGCTTAGGCTTTTGGGAAGTGACTTACTGGTGTTGAGCTTCATATTTTAATTAATTTTTCTTTCTGTGTAATAGTAATTGGCAATAATGCTTGATAACAGTAGAGTCTGCCAAATTGTACTCTAGTGCTATTCCCACACCACCAGGTGAATTATGAAGAAAGACCTTCAAAGAAAGACGTTTCTGACACCATTCCCTGCTTCCATTGATTTATGAGAAGAGAACATTCCTTTTACTACTCTTAGAAATCTATTCCATGTTTATACATTTCAGGCCAATAAACTTAAGGGTATAAAATAAGGATTATAAGTGACTTTGAGCATATAGATAAATAGTTAAGGGAAGTTCTTTCAGGACAGCAGGTTATGTGATATTGGGAAGAGTGATGTTCCTTTTCTGACTATTCAGAATCATATTCTGTTTTTAAAAAAGAAGGCTTTTAAAACTGTGTTCCTGGTTAAGAACATGTGGGAATCAACAGTAAAGATAGAAAAATCTATCATGTCTTTTAAAGGCAAAGCTGTTTTTTCCCTACTGGTAATAATTAAGCTATAGCATTTTGGTATAGGGTAGGGTGTGAAGATGTTAAACATTTTAATGATAGTAAAAACCATCTTCATCTTTGCGAAGTATAGCTTGAATTTGACTAGACCAGAGAGGTATTTATTATTTACAGCTCTTAATTTGAGTTTGTTAAAAAAAAACCTGGCATTTTAGTTGATGGTACAATTTAGGCTAGCTTTTCTGTGCTTAGAATTGTGTTTAAAACACAACAGTGCCTCAAAGTCAAGAGACAGTGAGAGAGCATATTGTATCTTTGCCATCCCAGGATATTATATAGTCTTTACACAAAACTAAGATTGTTATTTAGGATTTAACAATTAAAGTAGTGTTTTGTTTTGCTTTTAAAAAAACTGTCTTCACTGCAAAGCTCAGGTACAGCTTAAATGCAACAATGCCTGCTAGAAGAGGGGATTTTATAATGCCCAACTTCTACATCACATTTGAGATCTGAGGAAACTTATTTCTTATGTCAACAGATCTTTGATTAGGCTGGATGACCTTTGAAACAGTTTAGGGTGTTTTGAGGACAGTGTGAATGCTTTTAAGGCTTACAAGTTGGGGAATCTTCAGTAGTGTAGCATTTAAAATAATGGGGTGGACTTTTTCTTTGCTTTGTCTGAGGCCCATCTCAGTGTCATGATGGCAAGTATCTAGTAGATATATCTAGTAGTAGATATATAACATGCTTACCATCTTGGTAGATGGGATTCTCTGAGATAAGGGAAAAAGGAAGAAGGAAAAAAAACACTTTTTTTCTCTCTATCTTTCTTTGTAGTAAGCAGAAGGAAACCTGTCCTATCACTGATGGGCATCAAATCTCTCACTTGAATTGTCTATAGACACTACAATACCTCAACTGATTAATACTAAATTAGAAGTGAGTTTGACATGATCATAGTAACATTGGTCCCTAATTTTGAGACGCCTTTCACAAAAGCTAATCACCGTAAAAATAGGAGAGCCTGTTCTTTTCACAATGCTTCCCGAACTATCTCCACATCTTTGATAGAAGATCTGTTGCAACCATTATCTTGTTCTTTCTTTATCATGTATTATTTTAAAGATGCAAAATGCATTTAATATATTGTGTAAATACAAGACCTTTAAACAAATATAAATGAAGCTGTTCACATATTACTAATTTAGTTACACAAAAGCTTATTTAGTGGGATGGGGAGGAAAGCAGCTGTGTTGTTTTATCAGAGTTGAATGAAAATGGTTCCATGTTGCTGTTATTGCTATTATTATTGGTGTAATTCTTCTGTTTTTATAAAGATGCCAGTTAAGTCAATACATGTATCTTGACCTGTGTATTATTTGTTCTGAAACTTCAAAAGCATACATTTGGTATAGATGTTTAGCCAGTGACCACTGTATGTGGAAACTTTTTTCTCTTATAGAGATAATTTTCATTTAATTTGGCAACATTTTCAAAGTCAGTTTAGTTTTTCTATCCTTGCCAATGAGTAAGTGTAGTCAAGTTAAGTGTGATGCTGAATATTAATAATTTTATAGTTCAAAGCTAAATGGCCACTATCATATCCATTAATTCATGCACTTTTAACATTCATTTTGGACAAGGTTGGATAATATTAATTTCATAAGAAATTAAAGACAATCCTGTAATGATGTTTTTGTCCAGGCTAAAAATGAGGGTGATTTTCTCTCGGTTTAGTGGTCATGAGAAGATTACAGAATATCATCTCTATATAATTATTTGTGTTTTACACTTCTTCAGATTTTCAAAAGTTGTTCTGAAATGTTTGGTCATAAAGGAGGGGTGTTCAACAGAAACCAAATTTATAATTATTAGAAATAAATAAATTTATAGGGCTAGGACCCTAAAACATACAGGGAGAGCTAAACTGTATAGAGATGGATGTACCAACTATTTGTAGATTGTATCAAACTAGGTTGTTTGAACAATTGAACCACTGTTGACCAAGTATTGTCCTTTAGATAGCAGCCTCTTAAGTGCTGATATGAATTATATAGATCATTGTTGAAGAGACCTAGTATGAGTTACATAACAATGAAGCTTTGTATATCAGTTTATTTATTTTATTTTATTTTATTTATTTATACTTCATATTTCTAGACCACCCATCTCTCTTAAAGAGTGAGTTTAGAGTTAGTTGATTAACTTTGTAGGAAAATGCCATTTTCAACACAAAATGTTTCTCCTTCATTCTTCTCTGGTTTCTTGTTTTTCCAAAGGGTGGCCCAAATGTTGAAACTATTTCTTGTCAGCAACTGACTTTAAATGGTATAAATGAATATTTCATCACCAAGAGGGCTCACGCACTGAACATAGCAATCACAGAAGAAATGAAAATATACCTTTGACACCTTTCAAAATAAGAACTGATAGTAGAAACTCTTCATAGTTGATTCAAAGGAATTATGGCAGCTAATAATCCTGTAGAAACATTTACTTGAATCAGGGAGTCAAATTAATTACACTATCTCAGAGATACACCTTAGATGTTAGTTTACTTGTTCTATTTATTTGATATGGTCCCATTTCAGTTTTCATGATTTTATTCATGAACTGTGTATCTTTTATTTGGTAGCACTTTTTAGATTTTTTTTACAGGCATTCCTTAGTATTTGGAAAACTAATAAGATAGGCTTCCTATCCACGACTCTCTTAATATCTTTACATTAAGTAGGTTGTCAGTATTGCATACATATGGATGGGGTTCTTTTCTTTTTTCCCCCCCTTGATTGCCTTTCTCACTGTCTTCTGAGCTTTATTTTGCAGCAGCCATTTTGGACAAAAAGAAGGGTTGGAGAATTCTTGTAATGGCATCCAAGATAGTGCAGTATGGCTTTTAAAGCCATAACATACCTCTGAGTAGCAAGGCTGAGGTGTATCTGAATTAAGGTCACCACGAAATAGCAAAGATCCATACTGTTTACCAAAGTATTGCATTTGTAAAGTATTGCAAACTATTTTAAATCCTATGGATTTTGTATAAGGTTTATTGTAACCTATTTATTATATATATATTTAATAACTGATTACTGGTTTGGGCCTTGGGCCCTAATGTATGGAACATTGATTCATATTGGATCTCATGTATGCCATCGTTTGGTATAAATCTGGTTGGGAAGGATCATTTTTAATTGTGATATTCAAAGGATATATTCCAGTTTCCATATTCATCTTTGGTAGTGCTGCCCCTTTTTCTGTTATGTGAGGCCTTTGGTTAAGAACGTTTAAAAAAAAAAAACACGATAAAACTCAGTGTTGCTTTTTGCTGTTGGTTTAAAAACATTGTTCCCCAAAAGAAGAGAAAGCTCTTAATGAAAAATCTTTAATGCACTCTGGCAAACTGGCAAGCAGGATCCCCAGAGCCAGTGATATTAACTAGATCATCCGGCTGAACGCTATAGTTTTTTCTTAATTTAGTAATACAGAAAATGTGTTGATTTAAAGAACTTATTGTTAAGAGTAAGATTGTACAGTTAATCTGCTTGACTTACATGCATAATGTTGGTCTGTCTTGTGTAGCACGTTTTGTTTCCTCCCCCATTTTATGTATCTGAAAATTTTTATGTAATCGCATTGTTTTCCTTTCAGATATAGGGAAAGGAGTTCATTCCTGACTCTTATCCGGAGTTTAACTTTGAAATAAATATGTTTTTTTAAACAGGTGGAACTACTGCATCAGACCTATTCTTTTACAGGAGATCTTCAAGTTTTCACATCTTATTCAGCTTGCTTGCTTGCTTGCTTGCTTGCTTGCTTGCTTGCTTGCTTGCTTGCTTGCTTGCTTTGTTTGTTTGTTTGTTTGTTTATTTATTTATTTATTTATTTATTTATTTATTATCTACCTACCTATCTATCATCTCTCTATCTCAGCAGTTGCCTTAATTTTAAACCATGCTTATGGCATTTTTCCAATCATGATTTTTCATTCATTGGGCCTTTGCAGCTTGTCTTTCTTTCTTTCTTTCTTTCTTTCTTTCTTTCTTTCTTTCTTT